TTTTAACCTAGAGTGCCATGGATGTGTTAAAAACATTTATTTTTAATCAAGGAGCCTTGGAAAAATAGATTTGAGCGTCTAATGATTTCCGTGTCTTGTCCGGGCCCGTTATAAGATGCACAAATCGTATTTTTAATCATATATCAATTTTTTCAAATGGAACAAGGGTGGCTCATTAGCATATTTGGAAAAAGCATTTTTTTACGAATAATTTGGTACCACACACTTGATATTTCGAGTCAAATTGTCATTATAAACCGCATGTTACAATTCCAAATTAATCATAATATGCGAAAATGTCAACAATTGACATATGATATGTCATTTTATTCAGATTGTCATTTTCTATCGAATCGTATAAAAATATACCGGGGGTGTCATTTAAAAATCAAAAGTTGTAGTAATTTCCGGTTGTAAGTTATGTTAAGGTATATACTAACATACCAAAAAATTCCTTTTTTATCTGAAAAAATAAAACATTTATATAGGGGTGGGCCACTTTTGAGACGCACCCGATATATCATGAAATATTTAAAAAGACTTTTTTTCTGATTACGAAAATATACCACACTTGCCCTTTCTTTTCATTAGTTTAGCGCAAATTCGTGTAAATATGATTAAAATGTAAAATGTAAAAATTTTAATCATATTTAAACGAATTTGCGCTAAACTAATGAAAAGAAAGGGCCAGTGTAACATATTTTCGTAATCAGAAAAAAAAGTCTTTTTAAATATAGGGTGTGCCATATAAAAAAAGTAATGTCAATAATTTTGACATTTGACAGTTTGTACACTTTTTGACTCAACGGCAAAAAACTTAACGAAAAACACTACAATTTCTTTTTTACTCAACCTTTTAACTCAAAAAATAAATATTTTACAGCCTTTTAAAAGTGGGACAAATTAAAATGAAACCATGGTACAAATTTTAGATTTTCAAGTAAATGTCCACAGAATACATGACAGTGACAGTTGTTATCTGTCATTTTAATTCACAGATAAATTGTATTTTCTGTTATTTTTTGGATGGCATCTGTTGAGATCTTGCCTGACTTATTATTATTTAGCATAATATTTAGATCCACCTAACAAGATGATATATTGCCGATGTTGATATACGTATCAATTTTTCTATATTTTTTCTAGATCGTAAGGCAGAGATACATTAATGATTTTTGTTTGCGCGTATTTACGTCACAGGTGGTACGATCGGTTGAAAATAGCTACTGTAAACTATATCTTTATCATGACAAGATTTACGATACTACGATTTTTTAGAGACGGCTAGGCCGATCAGATGAGACCTTATGTATACAAATACGTCAGACGAGCTTACTAGTTTCTGAATAACAAATTAAATACCCATATGATGGATGTAATGTTAATCTATTAAAGTTTTATTAAAAATGATTTTTTAATAAAACTCTAAAATAATATAGGTATTACTAACTCGTAACGTATCTTCGACTACTCTGAAATAGCGGTTGTGAAGTATAATAACTAGTTAATAACTTATTTCCTACTATGCTCTTATAAACCTGTTACATTCATTTAACAATAAAAACTTTAGATTTCTTCACTAATATGTACGATATTTGAGTAGAGCATATACTTGTATAATCCAATGTTACTTAAAATTCCAATAACGGGTAAATAAATATTGCCATTATCATATTATTTTACGTTGTATAACAAATTATATTCTAACAAAACTTAAAATAAATCTTAAAACCCTAGTACCCTAACAGTGGTGCGGTCAGAAGATGCGGTCGAACCTAAATATCTTTATTGCCCTACTAGCGTGTACCAGCGACTTCGTTTGCGTCGAATTAATCATTTGTAATGGTGATGATAAAGCAAAGTAAGAATTTCCATTAACATACAAACTGGATAGAATTTTCTCACATTTATGTCAGCATGAGAAAAAACAATATGGCGATATTATTATATAACTTGGTAATATTTGAGGGGTAGTTTCATCTCGTTGGAATTTGACTTTCGAAAAATCCGTTTGCCAAAAATAAGCTTTTTACGTCAAGCAGTTTAAGCAGAATCGTGGTTAAGAAATTATCCAACTTTTTGGAACACCCTGTATGATTTTTTAAAAAAAATCAAAATATGTAAAAAATCCAAGCGTTTTCCCGAAAGACTAACCGTTTTTTAAATAACAAATATTGTAATATTTGAGGGGCGTTTTCACCCTCTTGGAATTTGAGATTCGAGAAACCCCTCCTTATCGAATCTCTACACCCCACAGTCAATCCGTTTGCCAAAAATCAGCTTTAAACGTCAAGCAGTTTAAGCAGAATCGTGATTACTCAATGGTCATATTTTATGAAACACCCTGTATAAATTTTTAAAAATCTTAAAATAAAACAACAAAATAAAATATACGTGTTTAAGAGTTTTTCCGAAAAACTCACCGGTTTTTAAATAAAAAATATTTTAATATTTGAGGGATAGTTTAACCCCCTTATAGAATTCGAGTTTCGAAAAATTCCTTCTTATCGAACCTCTACACCCTAAAGGCAATCTGTTTTCCAAAAATCAGCTTTTTACGTCAAGCGCTTTAAGCAGGATCGTGATTAATCAATGACCAGATTTTTCGAAACACCCTGTATACATTTTTAAAAAATCTTATAATATGTAAAAACGTTGTTTAAGCGTTTTTTCGGAAACTTGACCGTTTTTTAAATAAAAAGTATTGTAATATTTGAGGGGTGGTTTCACCCTCTTGGAACTGGAATTTCGGAAAATCCCTTCTTATCGAACCTCTACACCCTAGAATCAACCTGTATGCGAAAATTGAGCTTACGTTGAGTGGTTTGAGCAGGATCGTGATTAATCAGTATGTCAGTCACTTAAGGATTTTATATATTAGTATAGATATAGATTGTTAACCACCGGATGTGTCAGTCTACAAGCGTGTTAAAGCTCTCTGAATTTCATTGCAAGATATACCCTTAAAAAATGAAATTAGTCCCATTTTTTGATATGTTACACTATACACTAGAAGTGGGCAAAGATTGAACGAGTCGTTCATTTGAACGAGTATTAAAAATGAATCGTGAGATTCGATTCATTGCTTGCAATATAGTTCATTCGATTGAATCGTGGTCAGCACGGTCCATAAGATTTGAACGATGAGCCGTAAAAAAGAATCGTGGGAATTGAATCGGATCACAATGCGATCGTTGGTTCAAAGAGTCGTGAGAATTGATTCATTGCTTACAATACGGTTCGTTCAATTGACTCGTGGCCAGCACGGATCCATAAGATTTGAACGATGACCCGTAAAAATGAATCGTGGGAATTGAATCGGATCGCAATGCTGTCGTTCGTTTCTAAAGCCGGCGCGGTACCGGCGGTGATGTAGGCCCTAAACAAACATCATGGGCATTAAAATAAAACCATAAGAAAGTGATTTACAAGAAAAAAACTTGTTTATACTGTAGGACGGGAGTATCTGTAAGGTAGTTAATTTTCACGTTAATATTTTTCTTAAAATAATATTACCGACTATAAATCATTAAATGTCGGACTAAAAGACGAAATCATATTTTTATGCAGCTCCAAATAAATATTGTTGACCTCTATATAAAATGAAGATCGCTGTCATTTTATATGTCAAATTATATGGGGATGTCATCGATGTTCATTTCCAAGCCAACTGGACGCCATTTTTTTTTCGATCATATCATCAGCAGGTTACTATATCGGAATTAAAATATGACTAAAAATATTAAATTGGTATGAAGAAGTCTTTAATAAATAATAAATAGTATACCGGGTGCGTCTTAAAAGCGGCTTATATGACGTAAATGTTATATGACGTTATATGACATAAATTAGAATTTATTGACGTATTCAATTAATTGTTTTCGGTCACTTCCTGTTTCACCGAAAATGACCACCACAACTTTTGATTTTTAAATGTATTCCTCAGTATTTTTTTACTTTTTTAGATAGAAAATAACACTCTGAATATAATGACATATCATATGTGATGACATTTTTGTATATTGTTTATTTGAAATTATAACTTGCGGTTCATAACGAAAATTTGACTTGAAATACCAAGTGTGGGGTATCAAATTATTCGTAAAAAAATGCCTTTTCCAAATATGCTAATGAGCCACCCTTGTTCCATTTGAAAAAAATTGAGATATGATTAAAAGTAGGATTTGGTTATCTTTTAACCGGCCAGGACAAGAGACTAAAAATATTAGATGATCAAATTTATTTTTCCAAGGCTCCTTGATTAAGAATTAGTGTTTTTAACATAGCCATGGCACTCTAGATTGAAATTTAAAATACAATTTTTTTATTAAGCGAGAATTTCAAAAATTGACATATGATACGTGATTCTATTCAGAATGTTATTTTCTATCGAATAAAGTAAAAAAATATCGAGGGTGCCATTTAAAAATCAAAAGTTGTAGTCATTTCCGGTGAAATAGGAAGTGACCAAAAACAACTGAATACGTCAATCAATCCTAATTTATGTCATATACTAACATACCAAATCTCGTTTTTTATCTGAAAAAATAAAAAAGTTATAGGGGGTGAGCCACTTTTGAGACGCACCCGGTATATGAATTGAATTGATAATTTAATATTATTGGTAAAATAATCAATCCATTTACGCCAGTGTCATAAAGTGTTGAAAAACAAATGAAAGAACTGTATATTTGCTCTCTGGTCCCTTAAGTAATTGTCCGACCAAATTATCGCCGGTAGTGCCAGTTACGATTCTTGTTTTTATGAAACGTAAATTGTGCATGTGGTTCGTTCAAATGAACGAATCGTAGGAGTCGAGTCAATATGAGAAATTGAATCGTGTGATTCGATTCACTAAAAAGAATCGTAATGCCCATCATTACTGTACACAAGAAAACGCGTTTTGCATTTATAATGAGTCTTGTACTCTCACGCTTTTAGAATCAGACTTTATAATCGTTATAATTTGAGTCTAATTGGTGTATGTTTGTTGATTTTAGGTTGGCGGTCACACGAGACTTATGGTACTGAACCCGAGCACGATATGCAAACCGTTGAACTATAGGGAACTAGATTTTTACCAAAATATCCAAGATCAAGATATTAAAATGTTCGTTCCCAAATATAAAGGTAAGCTGAGTAATAGTGATTTACTTATGGGACTTAGGAGACCAGACTCTAGTTTTAAAACGATTTGTGATCGCTAAAATAGTGCTAAGTTTACTATTAGTAAAAAATACTTGATTTACTCGTGTTCTTTATATTTTTCTTATCTGTGATAAAAATTAGTCTTATTGGTAAGGAGCAATGTTTATTTTTACATATTTCTTATATTCGAAAATAAACTAGCTAGATGAAGTGGTTAGAACGTTTTTGTTATTTTATGTCTCAAATACTTAACATTTGCTAGCAATATTTTTAACCTCAACTGTGTTCAAGCTATGGAAAACTTAAGGATATATTATGTGCTGTAGATAGATAAAATCGTATCTAAATAGGATTCTATCAGTCTAACTAACTGGTCTAACTATAATAATTTATAAATAATAAGTATTGTCAGTTGATTGTTATACAGGATGAGTCTTAAATAAGTGCAAATCTTTTCAGGGCCGGTAGATATCAACGAAAGGCACATATTTTCTCTTTACCGTTTTTCAAATAAGTTGAAAATAATCAAGTTATTCAAGTTTGAAAATTCAAAAAAAATTGAGAGCCACCACATTTCTTCTGTATTTGCATCCCTTTTAGTGCCGTAACAATAGAGTAAAGCCGTAACCATGGTTATATGCGGTAATACCATGGGAAAATTTGCGATGAACAGGCAGCTCTAAAAAGTTTTCAAATAATAGGAAAATTTAAAAGAAAATACACGAGTTTCAACATCTTTTTTTGCGAAAAAACCTCATAGACTTGTTCCTAGGGCCGAACGATACTAAGAATAGTAGAATAATAGATAAATAAAAAGATAAAAAAAGAGATAAATGAAAAAGAATATTCATAATAATTAATAATTGCATCAATAAAAAAATTAAAAAAAACTTGAAAATTATAGTTTGGTGGTAGGTGTACAAGAAATTAATATTTTCAACAGTTTTCTATAGCTTTTTAGTAAAAGAAAGAGACGATTAAATATTTCAATTAATTATTACTGTTAAATTACTAAAACTTAGTTTTTAATTGAATTACATAAACTTAGTCTCTTACTTTTATTATACATCAGATCATTGTCTAACCGTTTTATTTTATTTTTCATTTTATTGCGTAGTCATATTATCTATACATATAAACAACAATGTCATGTTGCCCCAATATTTTGTAATTTTGTCAGAAATAAATAATTACTATTATTGTGTTTTAAAAAAGGTAATCATATTTTGTTATTACTTTCGTTAAATTGAATGCTTCAATGGGTGAGTGTTGAATGTTTGTGCTTTGGATATTTTTATTCCCGAATTTTTTATTGGCTGCTCGTTTAAGCAAAATGCAAATAGATCAATCATGAACAAATCAATGGTGATGTATTATTTCAGCAGTTAAAATATTTTCTTAATATCCTAATTTTAATTTTTTCTTGGGAAGAAAATATATTTTAAAAATTATTTTTAACTTTTTCTAAATAAAAAAAAATGCTAAAAATAAGTAGTGTATTTGCAGGTGTATTTATTCTTATTCCTAAAACGTACAGGCTGTGTTACAATATATTTTTGTTTTGTGTATTTTTCCATTATTTGTTGTAGACTGCTTCTGATCATTTAAGTGAATAGTTATTAAAAAAACATATTTAATGAAATACTGTAAATATTGTGTGATTTATATTTATAGTTTTATTTCATTTTTTGAAGCGATTTCCACAATAATAATAATAAACGTTGAGACAATTGAAAGACGAATTATAAAATTTATATGATATACAGGGTGTTCCAATATTCCGTGGACATAGAACTACTACGTATTTTTAGTAAAAAATACAGTAGTAGTGCTATGTCCACTTAATATTGGGACACCCTGTATAAATGGTTAATATAATCTGACTATTTTCTTAACTTGTTTATTTTTTACAACACTGAGTTTTAACAACATGATAATTTAAAGTGATTTATCCATTAGTCATCCACTTTTTCATAACATTAAAATATATGATACGCATATACTATTCTAATGAAAATATGTGTCTATGTTATCTCAAAAGTTACTTTACTTACTTTTTCTGAAAATTATATTTATTCTGCAATAATGAAAACTGATCATTACTATACCCGCTTCAAAATTTTAATCATAACATTTAAATATACGAAGTTCCCTATATTCTAAATATCTGTGTCTATGTTGAAAGTATAAGGACAACTAAATTTTTGGTTCTACGGTTTCTGCCTTATTATAAGTAATAAAGGTATATAAATATTAAATCATATTTTCAGATTATATTGTACAAATATGCCAAATCTTTTATAATTTTCAATTAAAATTGTAGCTCAAAGCAATATTACAGACCTCCTTATTGATGTTATAAGAAAATCAGGAAATATTTTAAAACGGTATATAAACACTCTAAATTAATTGTAATACACCCTGTATTGCCATACATACTTTTATATATAAATATTTAAAAAAACGACACTTTGAAAAAATATATTTTAGTGATGTTATCACTGTTGAAAAGTAAGTAAAAATGTTTTACTGTGGGTAAGTATACAGAAATAGTAATTTATGGAAATAGAAAGTAGCTTTTTGGGGTTTAATACTGTGTACTGGCAATTTCTAGTTATTTTCTTAAAACCAGCTTTAGAGTAATAACAGTGCCACAGGCAATCAGGGTACTGGTCTTTATAATTTTTATAAACAGAGCTTCAATCGAGCTAAGAATGCGAATTGTTAAATAAGACAAACGAGTTGCAGGTATTAAGGTACGTAAGTAACGTAGTACTCCAGATTTTACAATTAACGCAAATTAGCATAATAGTACTGGAAGAAAATGTTATTGCTATTTCACGAAAGGAAAAAAATACAAATTTTATTTTTTTAAGTTAATTTTTCTGATATTTCATTTCTAATTTTAGGGAAATGATTTTCAAGACGGGGATTATAATTATCTAAAAGCTAAATGGCACGTTTTGGTTTTTAAATATGTTATTTTTTGTGACTAATATCGTTGATTGAAGGAAATAAGAATAAGAGGATGCGCAACCTTACGGGCGGTCTCGTGGCACAAAACCTACCGAGATCTAGTTTAGCTCTGCGCCGGCGCGGCGCCGCTGCGCGTTGATAAAGAATACTGTATCATAGTTCTGCTTTCAGTTGACAGAGTGAGTGGTTGCCGAAGGCAGTGTGACCAGAACTACTGATAAATCCGTAGATTTACGGATTTTGGGTACAGTACGTTAATAATACAGCGGTGCGATTCTGTAAACATATTTCCTGTCTAGTGACTCATCAATCGTATATAAATAACATAGGCTAGGCAAGAAATCTCTTGCTACGGAGCTTACAGAATCCCACTGCAGATTTTCTATTATTAAACAATTTAATATAATATTATATGATTAAACAAAGAATGGCGTCAGAGTTAGCTTGGAAATTAAGATCGCTGTTATCTCATATGTAAAATATTGTTGCAGTACCGTAAAATGGGGTGAATAGAAACAGTTTCGTAGGCTATTAGCGATATACCGGTTGATAAAAATGTGGTATTATTTTCCCGAATATTTTAAAACATGGGTCCTTGTTTCTTCTTTCTTCTTTGCGTATACATATAATTTGATTTTTGAAAAATATGCGTATAAATATTAAATAAAAATAACATTTGTGTTTCTATTCAACTGCTATTCGGGGAGAATAGAAACACACATTGATGTTAAGGTTTTTATCTATTCTACTTCCAACAAGGTGATTAGAAACATTATAAATATACAGTTGACGCGCTAAAATTCAAAATAAATTCTTAGTTATAAATCGTTTGTAAATAGTTCTATAAGTCTTTTATCGTTATTATTTTTGTTCATTAGTGTTAAATAAATAGTGTTTAAATAAATTGTGACTTTCTATCCACACGGAACCGACGAAAAACGTAACAATATTATAGTAACTGTCAATGATCGTCATTTCCAAGCCAACTAAACGACTTTTTTCGATTATACGACATATTCAGTACCTATAATTATTATTTTTTTATTTTTGTTGTTTATTCTATGTTTAACACGAATAAATTCTCAATACATTAACATGGATTTTTCATCCATAGATATTTTCGTCAAACATATCACACGCAGGGTTCGGAAAACTACATAAACTACATTACATGTAGTTAATGTAATTTATGTAGAGGGTGTAGTTTATGTAACATATGTATGTAACTTTCAAATGTCAAAGGTTTGAGGTGAGGTTATAATAAGTTGAAGCTTTAGAAAACACATAATGTATTTTTAAGAAAACAGACTATTTATTTAGACTCCTCATACAAAGCAAAATTATTCATAATATCAATAGGTAGTTTATTTCTTAGGTAGTTTTCATGTAGTTAATGAACGGGAAAAGTACAACACAATAACAGAAAAATAAACACATAGTTAATCAGATAAATTACTTCTTAATTAACTACTTCCGAACCCTGATTACCCACGTATTACAGATATTACACATTTCAATATGGCAACACTGTCGCTTTCAGTTCCACACCGTCTTCAATATGCATTCGCTGGTCGAATTAGAGAAAATAAGTATTTTATGCGTCGGCCGCAGAACGATTGGTGTCCCCACCGTACAGCACTTGAGACGTACGGGGAAATCAAATCAGCCTTGTCACGAATTCGCCAATTAGGATGCGTATCTTCCCAATTCTTTCAATCAACGCTAATATTTTATTTTTAACAATTTAAAAATATATTGTCAGTATTACTGTGATAACTCTCTAATCTGCCGTAGTAAGATTATACTGCCAAGTACTGTACCGACATAAAGATAATCAAGGGAACTATCGATGCTCATGGAAAAACATATTCAAATATACACCCATACGAGATTTTATATTAGGATCTGTAAATAATTTATACAGCATATACATACATAAGTTAATTATACAGCTTATACAACGTAGATACATTCTTAAAATTTTATTTCACTTTTACAGAAACCAAGCATTACCTTTTTAACCCGGATGTTCTAAAATCCAGAATTTTGCCATAATCAGTATTTATTATCTTATTACGAGTATACAAAACAATAATCTTGTCTGTTTCTATATATTTTATTACTCTAAGGCTACGAAAAATCTGAAAACATGGCAACATCGAAAATAACAATTATCGCCAACGTTGCCGTGTCGTTCGAAAAATAAAAGGAATTTGCCAGAACACGTCTTTGAGTTTGATTGTTGAATGAATGCGTTCTCTCATGGTTATTTGCACACAAAACGTTTTCATTGTTTTATTGAGGGCTCCTCCTTCCCGGCTGATGTCACGGACGGCAAGATGGCGACTGCCTGCGGCCCGAAAAATTCCGAAAACAGTCGGCCCATGCCCAATAAGCCAATTTCTCATGGTTCAGTGGGTTTGTATGGACCTGTATCGATTACTACTGCTACTTATTCTTATAACGGGTTGGAATTTTTCACTGTTATTTTTTCGGACATTTTACAAAAATTGTTTTATTTATTCACAAATTGAAATTTAATAGTATACAGTATACCTTAATTAAATGTTTTTATTTTTGTGAAATGTCCCAAAAGTATACTTAATTCTCGTTTTTAATTTACTCTCTGAGGAAAACATATAGAAGAGTTATATATTTTAATGGGTTCTTTTTATGGTATTTGATATATTTTCTTCATAAAATCCATTAATTATGTTTCAGACTTTTTTGTTTTTTTTATGTTAATTATCATTCTAATTTAAGTTTTCATAATTTAACAATGTATTGAGCTTAATAATAGTACTAATAATAACTTTTTAATAAAATAAACGGGTAAAGTCCAATAAGAATTTTCAAATGAAACATTTTTTGTTTTAATAACGGAGATTGTTCTACATAAACCTGCGGATTGTTTCAGGAGTAATGCAAGCTACTTTATGTAGCGGATCTAAAATGGAGAAACGATACAGTCCTAGTTTTGCAGAAGACAATCTTAAAACGCTCAAGAATGACAGGAAAAGAAAACGTGAAGATGTATTAAAGTAAGTTGTCCAACCTTTGATTTATTTAATGAAGAAAAAAAAGTTTTTGAGAAAAACTGATGCACCCACAAAATATTATAGAAAATCAGCTTTTAGGTATTTGTCCTAGAAACAAAAACAAAAAAAAATCAAATTGCAGATGTGCTAAAGTTAAACTAGAACCCGCGAGGAATAGTGTTGTAATTAGGCTTTCAACGAATTCTAAATAATGTTAATCCACATTGTTCCAGATATTGAATAAAGCAATATTTATATAAGTATTTTACATTACACATTTTGACCATCTTGAAAAAATTAAAGCTACCTCTTTATCCGTTTTGAATATTTTTATGCTGTTTTGTTTTTCAGACTCATCTTCAATTCATGTTCTAGGTCTAATTTGCAGTATGTTATCTCGTATTCCTTAACTTAGAATTTAAATAAATATAACTAAAAAATTGCATTTATTATTATTTAACCTTACTGTAACTTATTGTCTCCATTTAAACTCACACACCTTTAACTACTGCTACATTCAGATGCAAAAAAATGCAACAGAAAATTTTTTCGTCAAGTTTAAAGTTTTATATTTTTTTATTTTTAGCCCTATTTACTTGATTTTTTAGTAATCTTTATATAAATATATCAACTTTAATTCGTAAACTCAGTTTATTATAAACTTTAGTATTTGACTTATTATACAGGGTTAATCGAAGAGTTGTTTGACCCATCTTTAAAACACCCTGTGCAATAACTTCATAAGCAAATTTTTCTAAAACATTATTTTTCGATCAGAACCATGTCTCCTGAATATTTTGATTTTTGACTCATGTCAATACATGCCTTTGTTAATTTTTAAGAGCGAAATGAACTTGTCACCAACAATTTGCAATTTTTTTGAACTATTGTTACTTTTTGATGTTATTCTTCATAATGACGAGGTGGCTTTGGTGACTATTGTTGTGTGCGATTGAATATGGCTCTTAGTGTCGAAGATTGAGCAAAAGACATTGATCATGTTGAAGATGGCCGAACTTATGAATATTCTCTTGGCCTTTTAAGAAGAATGGGGAAACATAACACAGTATATTTCCGCCAACCCTGTTTGGCTGCAAACCCTGTATAATAAGTCAAATACTAAACTTTATAATAAACTGAGATTACGAATTCCGATCCACGTATTCCGATCGGAATACGTGGAAGTTAGGCATCGGACAACGTCGCAAGATGTTCTAAACCGATAAACAGGGTGGTCCGAACTGTATTCCGGAAACTTCAGCCGCATATTCTGCAGATAAAAATAAGTAAAAAAGTTCGTATAAATGTATGTCCTAAAATGCTTAGTTTTGGAGAATCAATTGATCTGTTGTCAGAATGAAGATACATCATACCGGCAATCAAAGGATGTTATTAAGAGCATTTCACAGTCGGACAATTCGAATAAACAGTATTTTTGATGTTGGAGAACATAACTTCGCATTTTGCCAATCCTTGCATTTTGGATCTTAAGATGGGAACAAGACAGCATGGGGACGACGCTTCGGCTGAAAAGAGAAACAAACAGATGGCTAAATGTGCAGCCAGTACCTCTGCAAGTTTAGGTGTTAGGTATGTTAAAAGTATTTATCTAAAAGAAATTTATACAGGGTGTCCAAGAAATAAGTGCACGTATTTTAACTGGGAGTATAGTTCAACCCTAGAAACACGCCTATGAGTTTTTTTTCGCGAAAAAAAATTTTGAAAATTCGGAGTTTTTGGAAAACATTTTTGGATTTTTTTTAGTTTTTATTTAAAAAATATAATTTCTTGATAATATGGCAACATAAGTAGTAGATTAAATTTACAAGAAAGAAAATCCAGAAAACATCCAGTGGTTTCTCAAAATTTTAGCAAAAAATATTTTTTTGGAAATTTTCAAAGTAAAATAACTCCGTTATTTTGGACTTATTTGAAAAACGATACAGAGAAAATATATTTCTTTTATCGAGATCTACCACCCCTTAAAATACTTGCACTTATTTCTGGGACACCCTGTATATAGTATACTAAGGACTGGCAAAGGTTAGTCTTGGGTCGAGATTTCCGTATGTAAGAAGAGTACAATACGTTTATAATGTACTGAACAAAGAGCGGACAGTAAACCCGTTGCCAAACGTATGAAATAAACCGAGAAACTGTCCACATCGCTAACAGACGTGGAAGGGGATATAGCAGATTTGTCGCAGTTGACCGGTCGACCCAATCAATGTCTGTATTTAAAGTTCTAGGGAAAGGTGTACGTCATGCGTTTAGCTTCACGATTACGTCTCGTGATACTTAATTTGTTTATTTATTAACGAGTCGTTATAATTTTCCCTATAGCTTGAATTTTTTTAGCAAGAAACACTTGCATTTTTGGTAAAAATAAGTGGAATTGAGTGGGTGTTCGATAGTGGTCGCGCTATTAGAACTCAAAAATCGATAACTCGAAATCTATAAGAAATAATAGATTGTAGGTTTTTCAAGAACTTTGTTGATATTTCTGCTGTATTTTCTTTGTAGACAGTATGTGAAAATCTTTATCAATAAAAAAATTACACGATTGCTGAAAATTGCTATGCTCTAAAAGTAAATGGATGGATTGTTTACAATTTTTGAATGGAAAAAACAACCTTATCGAATTTATAAAAAAAATTTCAATATCTAAAGTGGTTTTTGAGTTATGGCCTGTTATGTGTAAAAAAGTTGAATTTTTAAATTATCGCCATTACTGACGTTTTCTCGCTATAAAAAAAATGACACCCTAACGATATCCTTATAATTCCATTTCAGATGCTCAGAAACATGTCTAATGATTTTATCTAGTTATCTCTTGAAAAAAAAAGTATTTTAAAAATAAGCGGTTTGCGATCGTGATTTTACTTTACTTGATAGGGAAAGGCGTATCGGCAACGCCGCAATAGCACACCGTTACGCGTCGCTTCGGTCGGTCGCATTTCTCTCATTCCGGCTTAATAAGATCCCTATGCGATTTACTTCCACACATGTAAATGCCGACCCAAAAGTAACAGTTGCCAGCACGGTATATTATGTCAATATTCGCCTTAATAAATTAGAAAAAGCACATGTTTTAAATCAATCAATGTTTCAATTTTAATTAATATAATCGGTCAAGATTTTAAGATATATCGATAAATAATAATATTTCATGTCCTACTCGTTCAAAATATTTACCGAAATGTCTATAGATTTTATATATACCGATCTGTTCATCGAAACTGCGTAGTCTGGAAGACAGTGATGTAGACAGCTTAAATGAAAAATCAAATGTATTAAACAGAGATAACAAATTAGGTTGATACATTTCTTCTATGCGTTATTGCCGGATTTTGCATCAAAATTTTAAGTAGGTGTTTACGAAAAATGTTGCCTCTAGGGTTGGAACTACTTTTCACAATTAGTTACTCATTTTCACTCAGCTGTAATAGATTCTGAAACAACTGTCTAACAGAAATTAGCATTATTGAATAGCTTAGATATATTATTTTCTTTTATTATTTTATTTATTGTACGAACTGGCAATACTTTTTATTTTGTCTCTCTGTCTGTCAACTGGTCGTATATTTTTATCTCTGTCGTTTGCATTAAAGTACAAACCACGGAAATAAAGTGACCACGGCTAATATAATAAATTATTTAGGTTTCTTCTATAAGTGGGCTCACCATTGCTATAATATATAAAATCTTCAATATCTAAAACTCAAATGTACTATAGAAAAATTCTCTTTTTTGTTCGTTCGTTTAAATCGTTTACTTGAAATTCTTAACTTTAATTAATTCTTTTACTTAGCTTCATAATTAATATTCATTAATTAATATTTTTTCGATCAATAAATATACAGGTTGATTCGAATTATAATCAGGGAATGTCCTAAGGTTTAGGAAATACAGGGTGTACAAGTTGCATTTTTATTTCGTTTTTTTTTAATAATTTCTAAACTAACGTCGATATCTGGGTGAAATGGGGTGTTTTTTTAATAATAATATAATAATAATAGCTCCCGTATATAGCGTTTAACGCCTTGGGAGTAGCAAGGTACAGCTTGCCATGCTAGAGTCGTTCGGTATACAAGGAAGGTAATGTGGCTAGCACTACGCTTCAACCGCCTATTATTACCTCAGGATTGTGAATCCCAAATAAATTACGTCTACTGGATCTGTGTCTATGAAAGGAATGCGGACAAAATCATTTAAATAAACAGCAATATATTTTATACGTTGACTTGACGAGCGCAAATCGCTCCGCCCAATCATTGTATTGGCTACTTGCAAATTTGTCAAATTTTTATTGATGGGTTGCATCGTCTAATTTTTATGAAAAACATCGTTTCGTTAGGTTAGGGTAGGTTGGAATCAGAATCATCGTTTCCCCCATTACAGATGTCCCCTAGCTACAAAACGGATAGACGTACTGTACGCATTTAAGGCTGAGTCGACCTAGGTACCCAAACTATTTTTATTTTATAAAAAATAGTCGGCTGATGAAATGCCGGTTGTAGGATTCGAACCCACAACCTTTAGATTGGTAAACGAGAGCTGTACCTCTACGCCACCGGACACCTTGGGGTGTTTTTTTAACATAAGAAATTCTATGACGGTGTCAGTATTGTTGCGGACCCGTGTGGACTCGACCTAACCTAACTATATGTTCCGCCCTCAGAGGACCTTAACATCGCATTAAAGAATAGACACCGTAATGATTCATTCGTTCGAGAAGAATCGAGTCCCACTGGAATGGACTAGTACATACGAGAACATTCGAAAACCTTCTCTATGCACCTAACGATCTATGGACTATTCTAGATTTCTTTTGCTGTAGGTATAAAAGCCGGCGGCTGTGGCCTAGAGAGGGCAGTTATAGATATACCATTGTAGTTGACGCGCTAAAATTCAAAATAAATTCTTGGTTATAAATCGTTTGTAAATAGTTCTATAAGTCTTTTATCGTTATTGTTTTTGTTAATTCGTGTTAAATAAATAGTGTTTAAATAAATTGTGACTTTCTATCCACACGGAACCGACGAAAAACGTAACAGTATCATATTATAGGGTATATTTTTTGTCGATGGTGACATGTATTTTAAAGATTTTTTTTTAAAAGTAAAAAGGGTGGAAATATTTATTTTTCCTAACTAATGTAAGTACAGAGGAATAGTCATTATAGTCTTCAAAATACAGTTAAAAAAACTTCTAGGTAGCGCCCTCTACAAATAGTACTCATAATAAGATCGAAATCGAATTTCTCATGTCAAAGAACACTCAGACACCAATTTTCATCCAAATATCGACTTTAGTTCAGAAATTATTTAGGAAAATCGGAAATAAAAATGAAAACTCTACACCCTGTATCTCCATTTTAGGACATTGATTTATACGCATTTTTTTGCTTATTTTTATCTACAGATTACATGCCGAAGTTTCCCGAGTACAATTCGGGCCATCCTGTATAGTATAATTAAACTGGAATTGATTTATGCGAATCGTCTAATTAGAAGTGAATTTACTCTAAAAAATTAGCATAACGAATTCAAATTAATTATTATTTATTTTTATAACTTATAATTAATCGTACAATCATTTATTTCCAACCAAAAAAGAATTTCCTATATTCCAAACAAAGTGCCACTTTGAAATTCCAGAAACAAGACCAGTTTTAATAATACATAGTTCCAGGAAAACGTAGTTATGCTAAAGATTTTGCCAAGGACTAATGCGTACTATATCAATTTATATATAGGGGCATATCCGGGAATTGGGAAGGGTTCAAAACTATATGTTGCGTATTGAACAAAAAATTAATGCGAAAGAAAGTATGAAATGAATTAATGAACGTACTCAAATGACTTACCTCTTGCCCACCCTATACCGGGTCATAAGATTAATATACTCGTAGCCAAAAATAATTTTATGTCCCCATTTATATTAGGTCTATTCTATTAAATATAACTCAAAATATAACTACATACAAGGTGACCCAGTTTTTTTAAATAATACTAAAATAAACTATGTATAATGTAACGGGTGTCCCAGAAATAAGTGCAAGTATTTTAAGGGGTGGTAGATCTAGTCAAAAGAAACATTAAGCATTTAATAAGAATTAATAAATTTTAAAATAAATTGATAATAACCGAGTCGTTTAACTTTGAATTTAAAAAAAATAATGGCAACATTTTTTTTTAATTACAACATTTAAAAAAAATAAGGGCATACTTAACATTAGAAAACGGGACTCCGATAGTTAGGAGATCGATGTAATTTGGTTACAGCGTCGTTTTATCACTTTACCTAAAACCGCAACTCTACACTTAACAACACTTCATTTCATTGCGATTCTTGACAGGACTACGCTTTTACGTGTATTTTGCACAAAATACATTCGTATGCCACCTGAATTATTTAGAATTAGTTTTTGAGAATAACTCCTCTGTTTTTTCATCTCACACTTTTGTTTTTGTGAATAAACACCAAAATAATTGATATTTCTATTTGAATAATAAAAGCATTTTTACAGGCTTGCCTTATATTTGCCTATTTTTTAGTTTTAGAGAGGTTTATGAATTGGATAACCTAAAATACCATCAGCTGGTCTGTTGAAATGTAGGTCAAACGCAAGGTCAAACGTTGACTAATTTACATATCTCGTATATCTAATAGAGGGCGCTAATTCTGAATTATTTCAATTTACTAAATTGTAAAAAAGGTATTTTTGATACCTATTTAAAATATAGTAGACGTTGCACTATACTTAATAATAATCTACAATCTACAATGATTAAAATCTGCAGTGAATAAAATTATTAATTTAAGTATTTTTTTAGAAATTTAAAAATGCGCACTTATAACATACAGAATGTACTTTATAAACATACAGAATGTAGATAACGTGGGCAACATTGCATTCTCTCGAAGCACTATAAACAAATTTTCGGAAACTGAACAAGCGGCACTCAAAAGTTTTTAAATATTTTCCATTAAATGTCAAGAAAAAAATATAAAAATTTCAACATTTTTTTTCGCAAAAAAACTCATTACTACTACCAATTAAAATACTTGAACTTATTTCTGGGACACTCTTTATAATATTAGGAAATGTATGTAATAAAAATATATAAGTATTAATTAAACTTTACCTTGAATTACAGAAACTTAACAAAGGTAACAGGAATCTAACAAATATCGCACAAGTATTTCTTAAAACCTATTGAAACCCATTTTTCTATCTATTTTTGCAAGGTAAACTTGAGTAACATTTACTTGAAGGTCAACATTTTACTTGTTGCGTCACAAGCATGTTTGTCAAACTTACTAGCAGATAAAGCTAAGATGTTTCAAAACAAAGAATCACGAAAAAAAAGTTGATCAAACCAAAGCAATCAAAACCCATACCATTGCCGATTATGAAATAGGTATTCTATAAAATGCAAAGAAGATTTATGTAATATAAATCATTTCATACAATGTCGTATTTCAAATTTTACCGGTAACATATGCACATAAAAAAAATGAATATGACTCAAGGTGGAAAAGGATAGAATTTATGTTTAAGAACTTTTAGAGATTCTTCTTCAGACTTAAATGAAATATTTTTTAAGTATACCTTTTTGCTGTTCTTATTTTTGACAGAATATTTTTTTATAGATTATGTGGTATGCAAGTTTACCAAAGCGATACTGACTTCTACTACAAAAGGGACAAATATTGGGGCAGGGAGTTAAACGAAGAAGGATTTAAAAACGCCCTCTGTAGATTTTTTGACAACGGCAGCGGTCTCAGAGTTTTCGTTATAAGAAAAGTTCTGGCCAAGCTTGAACAGCTCAGAAGAATTATCGAAAAACAAAGTTGTTATAGATATTATTCTTGGTAAGTTAACAAGTACATGTTACAGTTTGCTATAGTGTGCTAATATTACGAATTAAATCATATCATCATAATCACCATTTCCAGCTTATTCAACCATTTCCAATTATGATGTAGTTTTCCTCACATATTTAGATACTCTCTTTGTAGTTGGGCCCATTGTTGCCTATTGTTGGCTATGCGGGCCCAAGTTATCCCTGTTAATTTCCTAATATCATGATCCCACCTTCGTTTCTTTGACCTGGTATACTATATATTTTTTTTCTTTTTATTCTGGGCTTTAGGTCGTTGAGGTTGCAAAGATGTTACTATATTTTGTTCATTATTTTATTTTTATGACGACGTTTCGACAGTATATGTCTTTTTCAAGTCTCTTGAACGTAGATTCCTACAGAATTAAAAATTGTTAAAACTGGACAAAACACAGTAACGCATATTAAAACTATTATTTTAATTGTTTTTGGACATCACACTTTAGTATAGAGCACGTATGTATTTTCTAGCAGACCGTTCTGTATAAAACATATTTATCATTTCAATAGCCGATGTCTACTTAAAATTCGGCTTCAGCTATTGAAATGATAAATATGTTTTATACAGAACGGTCTGCTAGAAAATACATACGTGCTCTATACAACATTCGAGTGGGACAAAATTATCGTCCGGAGGTAAAATACCCCCTGAATCGGATCTCCGGGAGGGGGTGCCTACTCGAGCGTATCATCGGAGAAACAAAAAACATCAATGTTTCACGTTTGCGGCGTGGAACGTCCGCACTCTACTGAACAACATAAATTCAAATCGACCAGAGAGAAAAACAGCACTGGTCTCACAGGAACTCCACCGATTAAATATAGATGTTGCCGCTCTAAGCGAAACACGCTTTGCGGATGAAGGTAGTCTCACTGAGGAGCATTACACCTTCTTTTGGAAAGGTCACCCCGCAACACACAGGAGAATTCATGGCGTAGGCATTGCAATCAAAAACGAAATCGCCACCAAGTTAACAGAAGTACCTATTGGTGTCTCCGAACGTCTTATGACCCTAAGGTACCCCATATCAGACAAAACTTACGTCAACATCATTAGTGCCTACGCTCCCACCCTTGACGCTAAAATTGAGGATAAGGATAAATTTTACCAAACTTTACAAAATGCCCTTCAACGAATTCCAAAGCACGAACGAATCATCTTGCTAGGTGACTTTAATGCCCGTGTTGGCAAACAACAGGAAATATGGCCTGACGTATTGGGAAAACATGGAATGGGAAATGTAAATAGCAATGGTGAACGCTTATTAACAACATGCGCAGAGTATAATCTTTGCATCACCAATACGTGGTTTATGTTGAAGGACAAGTTTAAAGGTACCTGGAAACATCCTAGATCAGGCCACTGGCATCAATTGGACCACATAATCGTTCGAAGGACGCATCTAAAAGATGTTAGGCTCACAAAAGCCAGAATAGATGCCGAATGCGGCACTGACCACCGACTTTTAATTTCAAAAATGAAAATCCAGTTAAAACCCAAACATCAACACTGTAAAAAGCAAAATAACATGACCAGATTGAACGTACGGGGTCTAGAGAACAAAAATACCGCCGACGCCCTCCACGAAGCCATCAAAGAATCACTTCCACCGATAACTTCAATTTCAATCTTGGAAGCTGAACAAGGCTGGACACAATTAAGGGATGCGATTCATAAAACCAGCGAAGCAGTACTGGGAAAGTCGAACAAAAAGAAACAACCAGACTGGTTTAACGAAAATCAACCGCATATACAGGCTTTGATGGAACAAAAGCATAGAGCACATCAAGCAGTCACCACAAATCCACATAATCCAAGACTGGTAGAAAACTTTAAATCAGCCAACAACACGCTTCGAAGAGAACTGCGCCAAGTAAAGGATAGCTGGTGGTCACAAAAAGCGAATCAGATTCAAGAGTATGCCACGCATCACGATTATCGTAAATTCTTCGAGGCTGTAAAAGAAGTATACGGTCCAACTAAGGTAAGCTGCCCAATCATGGCACAAAATGGCGAACTTCTAAAAGAGTTCTAAATTCTTCATATCCTTAACCAAGAAAACAACCCGAATATAGCAGCACTAAACACAATACCTCAGTATAACAGCCTCGATGTATTAGACATCCCAATAACAGAACAGGAAATAAAGACCTCCATAAAACAGCTTAAAAACAACAAATCAGCTGGCTGTGACGCGATTCCGGCGGAAATCTATAAGCGTGCAAGTAAAGAACTTATTGGTTATCTCAAGGCTCTCTTCGATGTTGTATGGGAAAGCGGAGAGGTACCAGGACTTTCGCAACGCGAACATAGTGAATATATTTAAGAACAAAGGAAGTTCATTAGACTGCGGAAATTACCGGGGAATTTCGCTATTGGCTATCGGCGGAAAAAATCTTGCAAAGATAATGTCAAACCGCCTGCACCCATATATAGAAAAAATCCTTCCAGAATCGCAAACGGGTTTTCGTACCAACCGCGGCACCGTCGATTCCATATTTTCCATCCGTCAACTACAGGAAAAAGTAAAAGAGCAGCAGTCTAAACTTTATGTTGCATTCATCGATCTAACAAAAGCCTTCACACTGAGCGACCCATTCCTAACAAATACAGAAGTTAGGCAGGGATGTGTCTTAGCGCCTCTCCTATTCAACATATTCATGGCAGCGCTCTCCATTATAGTGGACAGCAAACTGCAGGAGAGAGGATTGGGCATTAGATACAGATATGACGGCGGTCTATTCAACATAAAAAGACTCAGGGCAAAAACACGTACAAAATTTATCACAGAACTTCAATACGCTGACGACTGCGCTCTAGTTGCAAACACGGTACAACAATTACAAGAAATGTTGGACACATATACCTGGGCATACGAGGCTTTGGGCCTTAAGCTAAACATCGGCAAAACTAAAATCATGTGCACTCCCCCGGAAGATCACAACAATGCTATAAAAATCGGAGAAGTACTATTGGAATATGTGGCGGAATTCAATTACCTTGGCAGTTTGATTTCGAAAAGGACTAATATTGACTCTGAAATTCAGCACAGGATTAGTAGCGCCTCAAGAGCATTCTGGAAATTAAAAGACAGGGTTTTCTACAATCATGACTTGAGTACAAAAACAAAACTTGCAGTGTACCGAGCAATTATAATCCCCACCATGTTATATGGGAGCGAAACCTGGGTGCCGTACCGCCGACACATGAACGCATTGAACAAGTTGCAACAGAGACACCTTAGACAACTCTTAAGAGTCCGGTGGTTCCATCATGTCTCAAATGTATCGGTACTTGAAAAAGCTAACTGCGAGAGTATTGGAGTCATGGTCACAAAATCCCGCTTAAGATGGGCTGGTCACGTATGCAGAATGCAAGAAAACCGCATGCCAAAATCTCTGCTTTACGGTGAGCTTGTAGACGGTAAGAGGAGGCCGGGTGGACAACTGAAAATGTACAAGGACATTTTCCACGAAAATTTAAAGGGAATTAACATGCAGAATGAGTGGGAAAAAGCAGCTCACAATAGAAATCAATGGAGAAGGGTTATAAACTCAGTTAACAGCGGCAACCAGAAAGTAAAGAGGCAACAAAGCAATGAGATCTTTGAATGTGCGGAGTGCGGTAGGCAGATAACATCACGTATCGGGCTTTTCAGTCACAGAAAAGCTCATGAAAGAAAACGCCTTGCGTGACCATCTTCTTTATGTGTGTCGAATACTCGTCGCAGCGAGTAACGGCTGTATGTATGTCTATATGTACGTGCTCTATACTAAAGTGTGATGTCCAAAAACAATTAAAATAATAGTTTTAATATGTGATATTGTGTTTTGTCCAGTTTTAACAATTTTTAATTCTGTAGGAATCTACGTTCAAGAGACTTGAAAAAGACATATACTGTCGTCATAAAAATAAAATAATGAACAAAATCTAGTAATATCTTTGCAACCCCAACGACCTAAAGCCAAGAATAAAAAGAAAAAAAAATATTAAAGTTTATACTTCCATAATATGTTATATTTCACATAGAAGATCTTTACATTTAATGGAAAAAATAAAAATATCTTGAAAAATTAATATCAACTTACAAATAACTTATTTATTCAGTAATTATGTAGACATATTCCTAGTATTTATTCGTTTATTCCCAAGAATAAAGATTATGTTTACTAAAAATACATGTTCTTGTTTCAGCTCATTATTGATAGTTTACGAAGGCACTAATTCCTTTCCCAGTTTTACGGTTACAGAGCCGGAAATACTGGATCCGGTTTTTAGTGACAATTTCGCATCCAGTTCGGATAATTCCCGCGACGTGGCGCCGTGTTGCTACGATGCGGACACCAGTAATTCGTCGGCCGATTTGAATTATAGTTTTAATAGTTCGGATTTGAGCAATTCGAGAGACTGCACCTGTAGAGATTACAATTCCGCCGATTTTACGGCCAGTTTCAATTCAGGGGACGAGGTCAGTCAGGACTCTTATCATCGAGGTTTTGCGGAAGCTGCTGCAAGAGGATCGAGATGTGGAGTCAAGACTGGAAATTTCGTACCGATTAATGAAGAGACTGTATTTTTAGGTAAATATGTTTTATGGTTATTTAAAATAGCCAAGAGCCAAGCCCCCACCCTCTACTCTCTTTCACCCCTCTAAATTGTTTATAAAGGAGTTTTAAATCTATTTAAAAAAAATGAGACTTCTACCACCTTCAGACCAACATTTAACGTACTGTTTCTTCTTCTGAGATCCCATGAAAATTTTTTTATTAGTATTTTTTGCTGTATGTATTTTCTGCTCTGAAAAATATAAATTTAAACAAATAATTACTGACAGATAAAATGTCTCAAAACCCAGTTAGGCCTAGATATAGGTATGCTACCTGACATGATAATTATATGATTATTTTGCCATTGAAACAGAAATCTAAAAAATAGAAAAAAATAATGGTATCGCTAAGAAATGAACTCACCACAAAGGTAAAGATATTATTTAATAATAATAGTATAGCAGTTTCTGATACCAATGTATATAAATCCAGAAAATAACGTATGATCGAAAAAAAAATTGTGTGTGCACTATGTGCGCATATTTGAAATGACCGTTTATTCGTGTGAGGACTCCATTCGGGTACCTCTATCCACGTGCCGAGTTTGATTCCAATCGACACATAATTAAGAAAAATCCTGATGATTTCGTCCATTTAGAGGCATCGGTTCGAAACGTCGAAGTCCTCACCCTTTAGCCCGTCCCCAATTATGCCGAAATCGGCCCACATTTTTCTTCAATATCAAATCTTTAGTTCCATCCTGATGAAGATGTAAACGAAACGTCGGAGTCGTATCCAACTTTGCAGGTGTGCACCGTCGATGACATAGCCTACCCACCAAATATGGTCGCGATCGGACGACAGCAACTTTTGACGTTCCTTACGTCAAAACTAACTGTCACAGTGACACCTGTCGTACATGGTCAAGTTGGCCTTGGTCCAATCTATCGACATACCAAATTTCATTTAAATCGGACGATTTTTTCTAAGCCGTAGGCTGTCTTAACCACTTTTCCTCTCGTGTGTCGTGTCTCGGCCTTTAATTTTTACTCCCAGCGCTCGTAAAGAAATTTCACTTCAAAAAATGGAGTTAAAAAAGGCTGAGGAATGGCAATTGATGGCAACTTTGATGAGATCTAGTCCGTAAATGTCGTCTAGAGACGTCATTTACTAAAATTTGGCATACAACTTTTTTACTAAAACATTTACTAAAAGTTGGCACTAAACTAAAAAACGTTTCCAATCTATTTCCAAAAAAATATTGTTTCTTGAAATTTCAACCTATATGACTTAAACATCTTTTTATTCCATATAAAAATAAATTACAACCTTCTTAAGGCTAACTGGCAGTATGCGCCATTAAAAATGAACTTAGTGACTGGACAACGTAATGATATTTATAGGACTTGACCTCCATTGATTGTAATTCCCCAGCCATCTTTGACGCCGTTTCTTTTTCGATCGTATAGTACATTATCCAAATAGTCTCCAGTTTTTATTAATAACTTCAAATATATCAGCTTTTTCAGACAATCGCGGAGGAACAAAAAAAAATTATAGAGGGTTTCTATTAAAAAAGATATGATATTTATAAATTTATTTAAAATTAAATCATCGTATTAAGTCAAAAATAATTATTTTAATGCCGTAAATGTAATTGTATGTAAACTTCTCTTTAGATTCACCTCCAGCAACGAGCATTACAAATTCTAGTCCTAGATCTGTTGATAGTTGGATGATGTTTTCCAACAGTTCCAGCGATGAGTATTCTCTAAGTAACCATTTAAGGGATAATTCGAGTTCGAATGATGACAGTTCAGATAGCGATTTATCACCTCAAAAGTCAAAAAGAAGCTGTTCCTTAAGACTGTCTGATTTGGATATTGAGGATACCGAAGACGAAGAGCTCATACCGCAACTTTCTAGGAGCAGTGTATCTAAAAGGTTGGTTATATTTAACAATTCTTCATTATTTGAGATATACCGGGTGCGTCTCAAAAGTGACTCACCCCCTATAACTTTTTTATTTCTTAAGATAAAAAAGCGAGAAATGACTACAACTTTTGATTTTTAAATAGCACCCTCGGTATATTTTTACTTTATTCCATAGAAAATGACATTCTGAATAAAATGACATATCATTGTCAACTTTTGACATTCTTGCTTAAAAAAATCGTATTTTAAATTTCCATCTGTGAAAAGTGCCATGGTTGTGTTAAAAACACTAATTTTTAATCAAGGAGCCGTGGAAAAAGAGATTTGATCGTCTAATGTTTTAGTGACTTTTTCTGACCGGTTAAAATATGCCCAAATCGTATTTTTAATTGTATCTCAATTTTTTCAAATAGAACGAGAATGGCTCATTATCCAAAGGTGCCATTTAAAAATCAAAAGTTGTAGCCATATCCGTTAAAACAGGAAGTGGCCGAAAACATTTGAATATGTCAATCAATCCTAATTTATGTCATATACTAACATACCAAATCTCATTTTTTTTTGAAAAAATAAAAAAGTTATAGGGGTGAGCCACTTTTGAGACGCATCGCCGGCATATATTTTTAACGCTCTATTTATTATATTTCTTGGATTTTCTTTATTATATTTTATATATTTGTCTGAATTTTGGTAGATCTAAACTAACTAATAGAATTAAATACCAATACCAAGATAGAAAAAATATAATTTAATTTAAGTATGTTTCTTAAATTACCGTTTAAAAGTTTTGAATGATGATTTACACTAAAATTATTTTATTACATTTAAAAATGAGAGAACTTTAATTAATTAATATTCAATTTAAAAGAAAAAATATTTAAATGGTCTCTAAATTAACACCAATAAGCTTAACAATTTAAAATATCATGTATATTTTATTTATTTTAGGTTATGCGTGGGAGAACCTTCTACGGCATCAAGGGAAATGAATTCGACTCCTAATCCTAAAGTAGATATACGGATAATAGACTTTGCCCACACATCTTTTGTTACCAAACATAGCTTTAATACTAGCCAAACAAATAGTACGGTTCACGAGGGTCCAGATGGTGGATTTTTGACTGGTTTGGATAGCTTGAACAGACTTTTGTCAGAAATTTTAGCGGAACATCAGTAAATAAAGAAATAATTTATTGCCAGATTTCATTTTTTTTTCTTTAAATAAATCAGAACATAAATACAAAATTAAAATCAAGGCATATAAAACAACTAAAGTGATGTTTCAAACAACTACAGGGTAACCCAGCGTTTTGAAAAAGCTCTATATCAGGTTTCTGATTTGATATTTTCAATCCAATATGTTTTATGAAATATTCGGGCAATAGCATTTTTAAAACTATATCTGTCAATACAGAGTGGTTCAAATTAATTTTTAAATAAAAGTTTATAATATGAATGGTATGGGGGAAAACCAACGATGTTCTCTTAATAGGATTTTTTTAAGTAATTAACCTAATATGTTAAGAATACCAAGTTCCAAACACATGCTAAATTGTAATTGAAGATAAAAAAACAATATCCAAATAATAACGCATACAGTCGCAATAACTTGTGTATCTTTAACATGATATTTGGCAACATTAAATCAGTTGTTCCTGTAAAAATCAGTTTACTGACATCGCCTGTTTTTCCCCTTAAGCTTCATTCACAGGGGTGGATACAGGAATTTATTTTAGGGGGGGGCAAATAAAAGGTAATGTAGAATATACTTTTTAGAGCGGCGTTTTTAACCCAAAAGCCTAAAATTTAACTCAATTTATAGATTTTAGGGGGGCCTTGGCCCGAGGCCCCCCCCCCCCGTATCCGCCACTGTTCATTCAGATAGATAAATGACACTTACCCGTCATATATTTTTACAGGAAATGCTATATACTTTTTATCTCTCATATTCTATATTAAGTAGTTATTATTTAGTTTTGAAATGTAACTTAATTTTCTGCACATTTAAAGTTCTCCCAGTTCGAAAAAAACGGTGTCAGTGATGGCTATGAAATGAAAATCTGTCATTTTATATGTAAAATTATATGGGGAATGTCATCGATGTTTATTTTCAAGTCAACTGGACCCCATTTTTTTTCGATCTTTTCTATACAGACCGTCGGCTACCTCTCGCATGTATGGGGATCGAACCCAGTACCTCTCGCACCGCAGATCGACACACTACTGTTTGCGCTACGGCCGGCCACTTTTTTCGATCAAACGGTACAATATCAATATACTTACATTTTTTATGTGGAAACATTTTATATTAATGTTCTTGTCAAAACTAGATGTTATAAAATACACTTTTTTGGTGGGGTCAAAACTAGATCTTGATAGAGTAAGTTAAAACTACCTCTGTGGCGGATTCATCTCTCCAAAAAAGTCCTATAATGGGTATTTTGAAATAAATAAAATTAGAGAAAGATGGTATTTAAATTAGATTTTTTTAAGAAAGGCATTTTGAGATATTATCGGTACGTTATCATTTTTAATGACAACCGTGAAATAAATCAGATTTATTTAGTAAAAATATCGAATTGGGGGGAGTGCTTAATAAAACAGAGAGATTAAACACCAACTCTGCTCGTCTATAATAATAAAACAGCATGTACTATTTGAAATAGAGAAGGAAAATACATTTGGTGTTTACGCACCCTGTATATATCACAAATTGAAAATGTATGTTGACTAGGTTTAGAAAAAGGTACTGTATTACGGTACTTCCAGTTAAAAAGTATCAAAAAGTTTGAATTTTACAAAAGCGAGAGAAAATTAAATAATCCACAAATTTAGCATACAACTGATCATATTTCAAAAATCACCGGGTATGAAATATGACATTATTGTATTTTAGAATATGAATTTAATGGCAATGTGCAATACACTGAGTTAAAAATTATGGCGTTTCGGAACGCTGAGTCACCCTGTATATGCAATTAATAGGATTTATGAAGCTATATTTTTAGGTACAAAAAATTATTTTTGATGAAAGTGATAAATTATTAGACGCGAGATTGTGGTGACACCTTAAAAATATGATAATGAGGTATATTTTTGTTTTTATAAGAAATTTCATTTATTTCAGAATTTTAACAATACCTATTAGACCTATACTTTTATGACTGATTGATGAAAAAAATTAACGTATAAAAGTAATTAAAACCAGTTACGTACATTATTAATTTAATTTCTCTACTTAATTTATACCGAAATATCCAAAAAAAACACGGCGTAACGTTAATTTAGAAACGACATCTTTGTTCATCTTATTTTACATATAAAATATTTATTGATCGGCATTTCTAAGATAACTTGACGCTGTATTTTTTCGATCACATCATATTATTTTCAAACTTTATACACAAACTCGTCTAATATTTTTTTAAGGTTGATATCTTTTATTATTGTTAATTGTTATCTAAAGGTGTTTTTACCATTTCAATTTTGGTAACTACTTTACAAAAAATCTATACAAAAAAACAGAAATTATTTTAATTTATCTCAATATGAACAAATATTTTATTTATATTAAAATAACTTTTTAATTATATGTCTCATTAAAATATGTTTAAGATTTAGAAGTTTCCGTGAGCGCTCATCATAAATGTATTAAAAAAGCTCGAATATAATCATACAAGAAGCTGCCATTCAGTTTAAGTAGTACTTTTAATAAATCAAAGATCTTATTTATCCTATTTTCCCAGTGGTGGTATTTGCGTCATTGTGAGGGATAAGATATGTATGTTCTCTGTTACCTTTTCACTCAGTTTGGTCAAAAACTATAAATCTTTCACCAATGTTGATGTTTTATTGCCTTATATTCTTGATATATACCAGTCAAAAAAATAACAGTATTTATGTGCATGTCTATTTTTTCCTTTAGGAATTTATTATTCTGTTTGATCTGTGATTTCATTTTTCTACATTTCTAATTTAAAAATTTTAAATGTTATGTTAGCATTTTTTACATTTACAGTTAATCAAACATTATTCTTTTAAGTTCTGTTGTTTTTGTTGTCCTCGGTCCATTAGCTGTCAAATCGTTTGACAATTTTTTTCTCGTTTTAGATTGTGTTCAGAACGCTCTATATTTAAATATGGTTGTTTACTCAGGAATTAAAACAACATTAAGTATGTATACTTATAAACTTTATTTACAATTTGTCATCTATGAAAATATTCCTTATTTCTAGACATTCCCGAATTTATCTCACAGCTACTTTAATTAGATTAAAATAGTAAAATTATGAAAACTTTAGTGTTCAAACTTGTATAAAATTAGTTTGAATAAGGCAGAAATAGTAATTAAATTAACATTACCTACCTAGAAATTCAAAATGTGATATCAGTGTTAATAAGCAAATATGACTCATTTTTAATTAGATACACAATACTTTAGCCCTCCTTAATTTTAAGACAATAACATTAATTTTTATCTTTGGCCTAACATTCATTCAAAATCACTTTTAGTTTTGATTCTTCAAAAGTTTTAGTTCACAGTAATTAACTTTGGTGCTAATTCTTTTTTAGGAATATTATATTTTCCCAATTTTGGGATCTTTAATTTTGTTAATTTATGCCAAATTTTAGATGTAAAGTTTAGAAATACAAATAAAGTGTTCCATATTATGTACCTATATCTACTTAATAAATTCTGTAATATCTACATGTATATGTCTTTTAATTTCCCTCATTAAAACAAATCTAAGAATTAACGGATATGATAGTATGTATACCAAATAAATATGTACCCAGATTCAATGTGTGTAGATTAATATTTTATAAATATTCTAGAACAAATTTTGGAAATAAAAAAAGTTATCTGAACTTTAGTACAAATAAATTAGGCAATATGTAAAATGTATATACTTTTTATTTCCTTTTCATTAAAATAATCGTACTAAGAATTAATGAATATATTAATATGTATACAAAATAAATACCTGTACCCAGATTCAATATATATTTTTTTAGATATTTTAGAACATTTTGGAACTTATACTTTTTACCTGAACTTGAGTACTAGATATAATATAAAGAACACGGCAATTGAAAAAAGAAATAAATATAAAACAATATAATTTTGTGAACCTCTAGACAGTTTAACAACTCGTTGCATAGTTCGACCAAGAAAACCTCCTGTACGTTCCATATCATCATCAACATCTCTGAGTAGCCTGTCTTGATACTTTACTTCGTTTCCTATATCTATTGATAAAGACTTAAGCACCCCGATTTTGTCTGAGAGGTCCTGTGCCATACGTTCATTTTCTTGTTCCATTTCATTGTTTTCTTGTGGTAAGGGTTCATAGTAATTTCCTGTGTGTGCTCGTCTCATTTTATACGTTGCCAGTTTGATAATACAAAATTAATTTTATTTATATAAAATTACTACTAAAATAATGTTATAAACAATTTTTAGAATTTTTGAACTGACGTGTAACTTTGGTTATGTACTTTTTGACAATTGACATCCAGTCATCTGTGTTCTGTGATCATGAAGGAATAAGAGACGGGAGACGTCATATACGTATTTCTGTAGAAAAAATCTGGGGGCGGAGCAAAGTGTACAAGTTTGACAGGACCGGATTAGGTAAACTCGAAATAATTAAAGCAAAGGATTACAATTTGCTTTGAGCTAATGTAATATTTAATCCACCAAATGTACGCATGTTGAAGTAAACTTATGCCTTGTAAATCCGCAACCTAATTTTTATTTTTTATCGATAATTTTGCATTATCAGTATTATCACTTGTAGCCAAAGCTTGTAACAGTTGGTATCATTAGAAATGAGTTCGGTTTAGTTACTTTTTGTATTGTTTCGTTTTACCACCTGAATGCTTAATCACGTGATTGCAAATTGACATTTGTTTAGATTTTTTAAAAGTTCGTGTGTGGTTCACGATTTCTTCTATTTATGAATGTTTATAAATTTTAGATTAGTTTTATTTAAAAGTGCGGTTGTTGTTATTAAGTTAAGTGTTTAAAAAACAGGACATTGAACGTTAGAGCAATGCTACAGGGATTACTTTAATTTAGTAAGTTTTTTAAAATAACTTTACTTACTCTGTTTGAATATTATATTATTAAAAAATAAAATGTATCCCTAATATAATTTAGAAGAATACACGGTATTTATGTATTAGAAAATATATATGCAATTGTGTATATGATTTAATTGAAATATGAGTAGAAATATTTACATTAATCATTAATACCAAAATCCAAGATCTAAAATATGTATAAAAATGATTTGCATTAACTTACAGATCATATAAAATGTTTTAATAGTTATCTGGATATGTTATGTGTAATATTCTAAAATAAACATCGACATCAATAATAAAACTTGCTTTTTTTCGTTCATCAATGTTAGAAAGTTATAAATACTAACTATAACATAATAGGTATAAGTACTTGTAATAATAGATTATCTCGAATCAATGTAAAATCCAGACGATATCCAAATATAAAAGGCATAAAGTAATATATAATATTTGCACTAACAGTCTTATAAAATATTAAGTACCTATTTGTTTTTACTTAGAAAAATCATTCTTAAAGTGGGGTTATTTCTATCCCTGTTTTTGTGCGCCAAATCAAAAGGACATGGGTCGCAGGATATTGATTTTACCTCTACATAATATTAAACGCCAACCTACTGCGTTTCATAACAAAAACAGATAACAGCTGAAAATAATTTCCACGTTTGGCAAGTGCCCCGTGTCCTTTTAACTATTTGTAGGTATTCGGGAATTATTTGATATCAAGGTATTCTCGGTCTTGATATCAATCCTCGTTTTTCGCGCAAATATGTAAGTTAAATTTGATGACGGAGTATCGGTGAAAAGTGATTTAAAAATACCTATATTTTGGAAAACGATTCTACAAACTAAACGAACTTTTTAACTCTTCTATGTCATTGTTTTGCTGTACTGCTTTGTAAGTATATAAAATACTCATACTTTATTCTGTCAGTATAAGATGGCTTTTTTAATAGTGATGTATTATAGTTTAATAAATTCCTGCAATGGGGTGGGGGGCGGGGGGGCGGGGGCTGCAAAAAAAACCGCTTTACTACAGATGCCCGACGCACTATTGCCGGACCCTGTAGGTATATTAGTGTACATTATTGGTGTAAATTAACAATATTTACCTATATAATCTAAGGATTCGGATATTTTTCCTAATTTGAATATTTTAAAAGTGTAAATAAGGCACTGAGATAAAATACTGTATGATGTAGTCTATCCAACAAGAATTTACATGATAGTGGCAATTAACAATTAAGTAATTCTGTCTGTCATTTTAATTCACAGGTAAAATTGTATTTTAAGCATTGTAAGTTTAGACAATCAATAGACAACGATAATATGACATAGTGTCTAATTATCGTTACATACATTTTGTAATAGATGTTTTTATTAATTAACATTAACATTCATAATATGATACTTCTAAAGAAAGCACGTTAAAAAACGAATAACATAAAAATAATTTATGGGTTGAATTCATGAAAAGGTCCTTTAAAATTTTCATCAGGTATCAGAATCTCTTCATATTGTATGTAGTTAGCAAGACACTGCCATCACAAATGTTAGTTTTAGGAGTAGTCATTGTTTACCTTTCATGGTGCATATGTAATGTTTACATTAGGTGGCGACTATTGTGGACAATGGCTCTTAGCGAACTGTCCTGGGTTGAATACCTTATTCCAACTTTTTTTTTGGAAACGGAAACATTGAAGGGTTAAGTATTATTTTAATGATTGAGTATTTTCCTGTTTTTAATACTTTACTATAATTCGCCGTAAAACTGACGTATTGGTATCATTTTAAAAGAATAAGCTATTAACATTTTAAGTGTGTTGATATGGCTGTTAGGGAAATTTATATTCGATCATTTCAGTAAATTCCTATCATTAGGTTGATATTAAAGGATATTAAGCCTTAGGTGTACTTTTAACGAGCTTTCTAATTAATTTAATCGTATTTTGGATAAGTATATTGACAGGCACTAATAAAAGTTGCAATGCTACTGCTAGTTAATTATTCAGTAAGTGTAATGAGTATTTTAAACAGTTTAGTTTAAAAGATGGTACTTATGCTTTATGATACTTTTATCGAACTATGTTGGTTTAACTGATTATTCTCTTATGCCTGGTGCAATTTGTAAGCTTCTTTAAATTTTTGTATTTTTGCTTCAATATGTTTAT